AAGGTGTAATGTGGTAACACTCTTATGAACTGCTCGACAGCTACATTGAGTTGTTCATATGCGATTTTGTAATTCATATTTTATGGTCATTGTCCACGCTATGTGTATCATTATGGTGCTGTAATTTAGAAATAAAGTGTTTTCATGCTATACATACCAAGTCTGTTGTTAAAAAAATTGTAGAGTCCATTCCGCGTCACCGAGTGGGTTTTTTCTCCATGTTTCTAATACGTTTGAATTATTTAGAAGAAAAGAATACCCCAGTAACAAAAGTTCTAAATTTTTCAAAAATTTGAAAATGAAAATTTGAATATATTTGAATTCATTTATATATTTCTGAAACATTTTGAATGTGACTGTACAAGGATCTCTTTCTTTAGAATAAATTTGAACTACCCATGTGTTTCTTTCACAATTCGAAATATTTAGAACTATTTCAAACAAATAACCAAATGGTAGATGTGGGTAATTGCCCCCATAAAAGTGGGTGCTAATCCTACTCTTCTGTCTTCCTCTGTATATTTTTAGATTTCACTGCTGGACACTGGTGGCTCTTTTGTTGTAAGGCATCAATGCCTGACGCCCAGGCAGTCTACCCTGTACTCCACAGGGATGTGTGAATTACTTCCTTCCCATCCCACTGACCTATTTACAAAATGTTAGAAATAATTCGAAATAATGGTAAAAAATGGTAGAGTGCTGTTAGAAATATTTAGAAACTATTGGAAATGTCATAATCCACATCAGGAATATTTCAAACGTTTTAGAAAACCAGGGAATTATTTAGAATATTGACAAGATGTTTAAAATATTTCCAAATTATGAAATTTCTTAGACAAACAATTACAAAGAATTCAAAACATTTCTAAATAATGACAATAACAACCCACTCGGTGACGCGGAATTGACTCTATCCTTGAGCCACAATCTCAACATAATAATGTACATCCTTCACGAACAATAAACTAAATGCATGTAGTAGATACTAATACGTTTAACATCATCAGGAAACAACATGTTATTAAAATGCATCTAACATTAGATTGTTATAGTAATAGCCAACAAAGCTATATTGCTAAAATTTGCATTATGGTTCAAAAGAGAAAGTAAAAAAAAATTTGGTCACTTTTTGGTTAATGGATGAAAAATAGATTTCTATATGCAGATGCTAGACGTTTATTAATGGAGATACACAAGCTATGACTGCATATAAATAAAATTGTCTGTAAGACCTATAAAAAGAATGCTTTTTCACGGCAGCCACTATGGTTTGGGGGTAAGAGGCTTTAAGTATTCTTTTTTTTGTATCTCAGCGTCAAAGGTTGTAGAATGAAATACACTGAAGGCTAACAAATCAACATCTTTCTACTAAATACTTCATACTAATATTTTACTATCTTGCCCAAAGTTGTAGCATGTAAAAATAAGCTGTTTTGTGTACTAAGGTTCTACAACCTGCTGCTATTAAAAGTTTCTAAAATCATTTCTTTAGACTTAATAGTTAATGAAAAAGACTCAAAATGCCGTATTTTGTCAAACAGATAAGATTATTCAAAAGAAAAGCCGTTATTGTTTAAATTGCCCCAGGGTTGACAACATTCTTTCTTGAAACTCATTTCCTAAAACCATAGGATATGAGTTTCTAGAAGAAATCACCCGCAGGGAAAAAGGAAATTGTAATATTTCAAATAATAACTACCGTCTGGAATTCAATAGCTGCTTTTTATAGTCAAAAACTACAAAAAATCTAAAAGGCGAGTAGGTCTTAGGTAGTGTGACGGTAGCACGTCGACAAAACGAACACCAACTCTGCTGAACCACAATTTTCACAATTTTTGTTGGATGTTTGGTTAATCTTGCATCAGAATTTTTCCTGTTGCAGACGATATACTTTCCAACATAACATTTGAAATGACGGGATGTTAACCTTATAGACGCAAATAGGATCCTATGTAAGACATTTAGCCGGAGTGCTGTGTACAATACGATTCATGTAGGTGCAGTTTGTTCTGCCGACGTGCTTGTGACGGTGGGGAGGGACACACGTCGTGGTGTGTTACAGGTTCCCTTTCCTGGGATCTCCCATGGCCAGTAGGTGTTAGGTAGTGTGTCGGTGGGGAAGGACACACGCCGTGGTGTGTTACGGGTTCCCTCGCTTGGGATCTCCCATGGCCAGTAGGTGTTAGGTAGTGTGACGGTGGGGAGGGGCGCACGCCGTGGTGTGTTACGGGTTCCCTCCCGTGGGATCTCCAATGGCCAGTAGGTGTTAGGTAGTGTGAGGGGGGCGGGAAGCACGCTGTGGTGTGTTATATGTTCCCTTCCCTGGGATCTCCCATGGCCAGTAGGTGTTAGGTAGTGTGACGGTGGGGAGGGGCGCACGCCGTGGTGTGTTACGGGTTCCTCCCGTTGGGATCTCCAATGGCCAGTAGGTGTTAGGTAGTGTGAGGGGGAGGGGAGCACGCCGTGGTGTGTTACGGGTTCCCTCCCGTGGGATCTCCCATGGCCAGTAGGTGTTAGGTGGTGTGACGGTGGGGAGGGATGTACGCCGTGGTGTGTTACGGGTTCCCTCCCGTGGGATCTCCCATGGCTTGTAGGTGTTAGGTGGTGTGACGGTGGGAAGAGACACACGCCGTGGTGTGTTTTGTGTTCCCTCGCTTGGGATCTCCCATGGCCTGTAGGTGTTAAGTTTTCCATAAGCAGTAACAAAGTAGTGTCTTGCTTCCCTAGGCCTTCCGTACGTTTTAGCGAGCCAGTGATCCGTAGAATAGACGCCTTTGCCTTTGTACATTCTTTGATTTTTCCGGGACTTTGAGACTGTCGGAAGTGACGGTTCTGCAGCAGCGGCATAAGGACTGATAGGTTCATCCTCAAGACTGACTGAGACCGCAAAGTCTGATGGCTTGACAGGTCGGAGAAGAGCAGGCAACGACCACGACGACGCCGACACAGCCTGACGCCCTCGCCTCGGGAGTGTGTTATGCTTCTTAAAACGAGCTGAATTTGCTTCGTTGTGGAAGGCACTGTTCGGGATCTCCCAGTAGATGTGCGGCAGGGCAGGCAGAGGCCGTTGAGCGGCAGCTATGTGGTCTGGGATCTCAACGTATGTGTGTGGGAGGGCGGGCAGAAACCGCTGTGCAGCTGCTGTATTGTCCGTGATGTCTGAGTAAATGGGCTGGGTGCACGAGGCAGAGCAGAGGCCTGAGGGCAGTGCCCTACACGAGACAAGGCGCAGGCTTTTCCTGGGCGCGAGGCGACCACCGGCATCTGCGGTTAACAAGGACCTCTTGCTCCTTATCTTCACCAGGCAAGCTATAAAGGCGGACGCTATCAGAAAACCAACCACACCTAATACGTATGCGGGGGTTCTACTACCGACAGAGGGGTTGATAACTCCTTTTGGTTCTAACAAATCCTGTCCATGACTACTGGTCTGAAGTGGGTCGGTAGTTGATGTAGACGTAGATGCCATTACAGACTGGTTGCTGGATATATGCTTCTCTGTTGTATGAGAAGGCGTGACACTTTCATGGTCTGTGACGTTTTCATGGCATAGTTCACGGGGCTTCCTTGGGACTTGTGGGATGGTGAAGACCACGGGAGACGGATCATGCACGGAGACCAGAATGCAGGTAATTTTCCCGATGTGGGCAGTGACAGCAGTTGATTCGTATACATTGAAGAACACAATTGCCATAGATGCATCCCCAACTCCCACAGAAACAATCTGAAAGCCCAGGTTACCTCTCAAGACTGTAACTCCTCGGTTCTGTTCCCAAACCAGCCTGCAATGATCCCCGGTGTTCTTAGCCAGTTCGCTATCACCAGCGAGGACGACAAAAGGCGGTGGTACGACGGGGAGATGTCTTTCTTCCATTTCCGGCCTGGTGGTACTCGCGGCGACGCCTGCCTGAACTTCCCAATCAAGAGAAAGAATACGGGGACTGACTCCGCCAGTCCTGACACTGAACATAAAGGAGGACGCACCTATCCGGATGGACTCAATATTGATGCTAAGGCTCCATGACATTCTCTGTGTTCTTTGATCATCTCCTGCCGTCATCAAACTGTTCCCACCGATATCGAAGCGCAGCTCTAGAGGTGGCAACAGATCCCCATCCAGACAAGACAAATCGTTCCCGTCCAGGAAGAATTCCGACACGGCCGGCATTTCGTGAAATACGGTTGGAGGGAGGCTGCTGATATTATTATCGCCCAAGTCAAGCAGAATAAAGTCAAGGACCCCGTAGAACCAGGTAGGATCTATGTACCGCAGTTGGTTACCCCTAAGATTCAGACTTACCAGACTTGTCAAGTTTTCGAAACAGCCTGGGTCAATCTGTGTTATACTGTTGTGCGCCAGACTCAGATCTAAAAGATTTCTCAAGTCAGACACCCAACTCTGTTTGACACGAGTCAGCTTGTTTGAATCAAGGCTCAAGCGGTGGAGGTGCAAAAACCCAGCAAAGGTGCCGTCCTCTACGTCTATAATCTCAGCTTCTCTTAGGGATAAAGTTTCGACTAAAGAGCGGTCAAACACTGAAAGCTTCTCTGCTGACAGAACACCAAAAGGGTGCCCCCTTATTGAGATATGTGGCAGTGACTCCAGTTCACAGGGTTCAGCAGGGATAAGTGAGGCATCGGCAGAGGCGTTTGTAACGTCTCCGCACCAGATACACATGTACAGTAGTGTGGGGTCCACCGGCTCAGTCTGGGGTTTAAACTCACAGTCCTCCCAGTGTGTAATTACCTTACAGCTAGGAGGACGAGAGACTAGCCGAGGGTGTAACAGAAGCCACCAGGGCCACACAAACCAACATCAACACGGGAGTTCTCATTCGAAGAGCCGTCGGTTACAAGATCCCTAAGAAAATTCCCGAAGAGTTGGGCTCACCTTGTATAAGCTACGGGATGTTTACACAGGATTCTTGTCTCTACTTGTAGGGAAGTTTCGGGACAGGAATCTGCATCAGAGAAAATAAAAATCATAGTTAAGGTGGCCAAAGAATGGCAAAGTGAACTTTAACGAAATAGCATGTTAAAAAGTGTATATGATAGAGACTAAAAATACAAAACGTTAATTAAGCCTGCTGTAAATAGGAGTGCCAATGTGATGTCGGCAAGTAAAATTTATTGATATTGAAAAATATTAAAAAAATACTGAAATTGTTGTAATAAA